CCGCTTCCCACGCCGTTTGTGTCTGTGTGGTGGTTTGAATAGGTATGTATGGCCTGCATAGACTCCTCCTGGGTTTGAATGCTTGGACCACAGGGAGTGGCACCATTAGGAGGTGTGGCCTTGCTGGAGGAAGTGTGTCACTGCAAGGCGGGCTGTGAGGGGTTATGAGTTCAAGTCTGGCCAGTGGGACACAGACTGTTTCTGCGGCCTGTGGATCAAGATGTAGAACTCTCAGGTCCTTCTCCAGCACCATGTCTGCCTGCACCCCACCATGATAATGGGCTAAACTTCTGAAACTGTTACCTAGCCCTGTTACAGGAGTTAAAGCGGTCATGGTGTCTCTTCACAGCATAGAATCCCCGACTAAGACAGTCTAGTTGGCTGGGTGCTTTGTTGTGGTTTGCCCTGTCTTGTTTTTAGGACAGACCGAGTAGCAGCCCAGTCTGGCCTTGTACTTGTGATCCTCCTGCCTCGACCTCTTAAATTCTGCAGAGAAGGATGGGCAGCGGTGGCGCACACCTTTCATCCCAGCACTTGGGAGGCAGAGGCAGGTGGAGCTCTGTGAGTTCAAAGCCAGCCTGGTCTACAGAGTGAGTTCCAGGACAGGCTACACAGAGAAACCCTGTCTCGAAAAAGCAAAAAAAAACAAAAAACAAAAAAACCCTCTGCAGGCACAGGTGCATACCCCCACACCTCCTTACTACGCTTCCTCAACTTGATCCTGTCATCTCCTGAACTGGAATCTGACTGCTCTTCCACCTTTTCCACGGCTCTATCATCCACCGTAGATGTCGCTTCTGGAGCAGCCCTGCATCACGGGTTAGCAAACCTCTTCTTTTATTGTCTGTGCTAGAGTGCTGGTTTATTAACACTGAACTTGTGGCCCACAGCACCTGGACTCTAGTCTGTAGGGATGCTTATTTAATATGCACAGTCTTCCATCTAAGGCACATTATAACCTTCTTGCACCTAGCAACATCAGACAGTACTTTAGATGTGTTGGTCGCTGATGTTACCACCCCAAAAAACACAAAATTGGGGTGGGGGGGAGAACAGCATTAAATAGAATGCATTTATACCATGAAACCTAAAAACCAGAAGACCCATAAAAAGCAGGCAGAGCATGAGTGTTTGTGGCCGACTTGTGTGCGTTTGTGTGCTCCTGTGTGAGTACCCATGTGTGGCTGATGGAGGTTGAACTTGAGTCTGCACGCTTGCATGGCAAGAACTTTACCACGCCAGCTTCCTCCTCAGCTTGGGTGAGGAGGTTTTTGACACTGGGGGTAGCTGTGAACGTCCATGAAAGCATTGTTAAGGAACTATAAGATCGCTTTAGCAAGCAAAGCCCACGAATAACGAGAATGGTTCCTGTGAGGGTTAGGGTTCCTGATAACAGGAACCAGAGGTGGGGGTGACGCCTAGGAAGGCGGGGACAGGATATCTTACCTGTGTCAGAGCAATCTGGAGCCAAGACACATAAGTGAAAACACGCTTGCTTTAATGGTAGATATTTAAACTGGACTGAAGAAATGTCTCTGACTGCCATGCCCCCCTGTGCGGGAACAGGGGCATGAAGCCCCCGCCCCATCCCTGCCAGGATTTTCCCCACCTGTGGTCACTGGAGAGGCTGTAGATGATGCTGTCCACCTCTCACTGCCTGCCTTCCCTGAACGGATACTAGTCCACAGTGACCTCTGTCCCTTTGCTT